AATTTTATTCTCTCAACTTCACTTTTAGAGTTTGGGTCCATATATATATAGACCTCTTTGGTTAGGATACATTACAATCTATAGTTAAAGTTTAGTTAATACAACTCTCTACCTAAATATATACATATTTGCAAACTTACTACACTTCTGAAATCTTCTAGAATTTACCAATTTCTACAAACTCTTCAATGATGTAGAATCCTCTATCTCTCGACAACACTCCATACTTTCTTATTATTTTTAGCCTTTTATATTGTTGAAATGAAACATACAAGGCATAAGAGAAGAAAAATTATATATTTCTTATCGAATTTTTAATGACAATTTCTTAAACAACAAAATAAGTGTTATACTCAAACTATTAGTCCGCGAAAGTGTGCGAAACACAAAGATCCAACAAAACAGTCACATACAAACACAAGATATATAGGGTTCAGCCAAAATCAGCATACGACCATGGATAAGAAAAGATTCCACTATGATTCGTAGATATATTACAACAATAGAGTAACAACACCATATACATACCTTTTTACTATGTACCACTCCACGAGCTTAATCCTTCGCTATCAGTGACACCAATGTTTTTCCTACTTTATCAACTCATAAACTACCTCTACCCATCAACTCCCTTATGAGACTACATCTCTCTCAATCTTATAAGTCTCAACCTACAACATATGTACCCATTTATAGAGTTATAGACATGATTCCTTGTTCGACAAGGATTACAATTCCTTAGAAGCCAAAACTTGCCAACTAAGAAATTACCTAATTGAATATAACTCTAAAAAAAGAATCCTAATTAGAATAAGAATTTGAGACACAATTTCCAACAATATCCACCTTGGTTAAAATTCTATCCAGGCACTCCTTTTGCTGTCACGGCAGTGATGAAGACAATTCTGTTGCAGCTTCAATCTTGATGATCCTTCTGCAAAACTCCGATTGCCCACACTCTACGCTGCCCGATCAGTTAAACCTCTAAGGCTCCAACTTGAGTACTCGAGCTCCTTGCTATATAACCATGCTAATTGACTTCACCTACAACTGAAGCCTGTTGCAGTACATGTTGAGACTTCTTATGTTTTTTGGATCTCCTTCACCTTTAGCTCTGATACAAATTTGTTGGGCAGCGGAAGCATGTGAAACACAAAGAAAGCCAACAAAGCAATCACATACAAACATAAGATATACATTGCTCAACCAAAATCGGCCTACGTCCTTAGATGAGAAGAGATTCCACTATGATTTGTAGATATATTACAATAATAGAGTAATAACACCATATACATGCTCTTTTACCATGTACCACTCCACGAGCCTAATCCCTCGTTATCAGTGTCACCGGTGTTTTTCCTCGTTTATTAACTCATAAACTACCTCTACCCATCAACTCCCTCATGAGGCTACATCTCTCTCAATCTCATAAGTCTCAACCCACATATGTACCCATTTATAGAGTTATAAACATAATTCCTTGTTGGACAAGGATTACAATTCCTTAGAGGCCAAAACATGCTAAACAAGAAATTAACTAATAGTATGCAACTCAAAAATAGAATCCTAATTAGAATAGGAATTTGAGATTCAATTTTCAACAATCTCCACCTTGGCTAAAATTCCATCCAGCTACTCCTTTCACCACCTCCACATGCCCCTAAGGGCCTCAGCAACTGCAAGTACCAATCAAGTGTAGACAATGTCTGAACTTGAGTGTAAGAATGACCTTAGTCATCATATCTGCTGGATACGACCCTGGGAGATAGTTAAGAAGCTTAAGGGCCAGAAAATTGTGGGTTATAAATGGGTCTTCAAGAAAAAGGAAGATCATGTTTGCTTACTGAAGAAGTCCTTGTATAGGCTAAAGCAGTCTCCTAGACAGAGGTACAAGCGATTTGACACCTTTATGGTTAGGAATCGCTAGTGTAGGAGTAAGTTTGACAGTTGTGTGTATCACATGAAGCTCTCAGATGGTTCGTATTTGTACTTGTTGCTGTATGTTGATGATATGTCGATGGCTTGCAAGAACATGTCTGAAATCAACATGTTGAAGGCTCAGCTTATTTGTGAATTTGAGATGAAGGATCTTGGTGCTGCAAAGAGGATATTGGGAATGGAAATTCATAGGGACAGAGAAGCGGGCAGATTATATTTGTCATGAAAGAAATACATAGGGAAGGTGCTGGAACACTTCGGTATACAGGTATAAAAACCTATGAATACTCCATTGGCTGCCCATTTTAGACTTTCAGCATGATTGTCACCAAAGACCTAGGAGGAGGTAAAGCGCATGTCTCGTGTTCCTTATGCTAGTGCAGTTGGTAGCCTTATGTATGCTATGGTGTACACTAGACTAGACATTTTAGATGCAGTTAGTGTAATAAGCAAATACATGGATAAACCTAGGAAAGTCCATTGACAGGCCATGAAGTGGATATTACAATACTTGCGAGGCAATGCAAATGTTGGGTTAGTCTATGACAGAGGTAGTGACACGTGTGGGAGTGTTGTTGGATATGTTGATTCGGATTATGCTGGAGATCTTGATAAGAGGAAGTCCTTGACAGGGTATGTCTTCATTCTTTATAGGAGTGTGATTAGTTGGAAAGTGACTTTGCAGCCCGTAGTTGCATTGTTTATTACTGAGGCTGAGTATATGGCAGCTACAGGGTAGTGAAGGAAACTATATGACTGAGAGGCTTGGTTGGTGATTTGGGCTTGCAACAGGACGATTTGACTATGTTTTACGACAACCAGAGTGCTATACATTTGATTAAAAATTAGATATTCTATAAGAGGACCAAGCACATTGATGTTAGGTTTCACTTCATCAGAGATGTGGTTGCACAGGGTGCCATTGCAGTGAGGAAGATTGGGACAGCATAGAATCTGGCAAATATGATGACTAAGGTCATTCCTACACTAAAGTTCAGACATTGTCTGGACTTGATTGGTACTTGTAGTTACTGAGGCCCTTAGGGGTATATTGATGTAGCGAAAGGAGTAGTTAGATGGAATTTTAGCCAAGGTGGAGATTATTGGAAATTATGTCTCAAATTCCTATTCTAATTAAGATTATATTTTAGAGTTGTATTCTATTAGGTAATTTCTTATTTAGTAAGTTTTGGCCTCTAAGGAATTATAATCCTTGTCTAACAAGGAATTATGTTTGTAACTCTATAAATGGGAACATATGTTGTGTGTTGAGACTTATGAGATTGAGAGAGATATAGTCTCATGAGGGAGTTGATGGGTAAAGGTAGTTTTTGAGTTGAAAAAGTAGGAAAAACACAGGTGACATTACTAGCGAAGGATTAGGCTCGTGGAGTGGTACATGGTAAAAAGGCATATATATGGTGTTGTTACTCTATTATTGTAATATATCTACGAATCATAGTGGAATCTTTTCTCATCCATGGACGTAGGCAGATTTTGGCTCAACCATGTATATCTTGTGTTTGTGTGTGATTACTTTATTAGCTTTCTTTGCAAAGCCCTAATACCAATTTGTTGGGGCAGTAGAAGCGCATGAAATAAACTAGTATTAGAGCTTTCGTTCGAAGCAGGGAAGTTATCCAAGTTTATAGAAATCAAGAAGTTTAATGGCCAAAAAGATTTCAACCTGTAGTGGGTTAGGATGCAGGCTTTGTTGGTTCAACAAGGGTTATCCAAAATGTTGAAGGTGAAAGATGCATTGCTAGATAAGATCAAGGACAAAGATGAGATTATGGAGAAAACACACAGTACGATTTTGTTGTGCTTGAGTAATGAGGTTTTGAAAGAGATGGAGGGAGAGAGACTCTGGAATCTATACTGAAAGAGAGTGAGGGGCTGAAATCTTGTAATCTCCAATTTTACACATAGTGAAAACTTTCTCCGGATCCCGACTGTGGGCGTAGGCTGTTACCAAACCATGTACAAATCTTTGTGTTCTTTGCGTGGTATGTTTACTTTTCTGCCGTGATTCTTGATTTTACTTTGGTTCATTGCGTTTGCTATAACAAATCTTTGTTATTCATGCGCTTCCGCTGCCCCCAACAAATTGGTATCAAAGCAATCACACACAAACACAAGATATACATGGTTCAGCCAAAATCAGACTACGTCCATGAATAAGAAGAGATTCCACTATGATTCATAGATATATTACAACAATAGAGTAACAACACCATATACATACCTTTTTTCCATGTACCACTCCATGAGCCTAATCCCTCGCTATTAGTGTTATCGGTGTTTTTCCTACTTTATCAACTCATAAACTACCTCAACCCATCAACTCCCTCACGAGATTACATCTCTCTTAATCTCATAAGTCTCAACCCACAACATATGTACCTATTTATAGAGTTACAAATATAATTCTTTGTTCCACAAGGATTATAATTTCTTATAGGCCAAAACTTGCCAAATAAGAAATTACCTAATAGAAGACAACTCTAAAATAGAATCCTAATTAGAATAGGAATTTGAGATACAATTTCCAACACAAACAATTTGTTTTTTTTCATTTTTGTTTTTTAATGACAATTTTTTAAATAAGAAAGGCAAATAAAATCCATATGTTTACAGACACATATTTCACTGTATTTTTACTAACTATGGTTTCAGGAGTATAATTTACATTTTTTGGTAATGCAATACTTGAGTAAATATATGCATTGAAGATAGTAGAATTAAATTATACGGATTTTACTGTTTTAACTATTTGAGAATGGATGATTTTTGGTAATCATGTTTCATTTTGTTTCTTTTATTATTATTATTATTATTATTATTATTATTATTTATTTTAGCAATCTTTTGGAATTAATTTAAAAGTATAATAATTTCCAAAATTGATAGTTATGTTAATAAAATGAAACAAGAACCCCTTTATATTTATATTTTCAAATTTTTTTTTTTGTTTGATTTTTAAATTGTAGTAGGTTAGTTAACATTTAATTATAGACTTGTGCCTTAACTTAATTGATGGTCAATTTCTCCCCCAATTTCAGATGCTGCCATACGACAAGCTAATTGGGATGCTTCAAAAGTGGGGGGAAAACTTTATCATGATATTGAGGCACATGCGTTATCTGTTCGTAGTGCGAAGTTGTCAGAAATAGTAGCCAACTTCGAGGTAATTTCATGGTTGTGGTGCATCTCATTGGTGTTCTAATAGGGCTTCCTTTTTCTTTCTTTTTTTCTTCTTTGTTTTTAGATCATTTTTTTTTTTTTTTTTTTTTTTTTTTTTTTTTTTTTTCCGAAAAAGGAATCTTAGTTCATTTTGTATGTAACTCAATTGGAATCTTTTTAACTTGCAGAAACAACTTACCGAAGCTCTGACTGAACCTGTAGAATCCCTCTTCGAAGCTGGAGGAAAAGACACCTGGGCATCAATAAGAAAGCTTCTAAAACGCGAGACTGAGGCTGCCACATCAGGTTTTTTAACTGCTACCGCCAGTTTTGAATTAAAGCAAGCAACAATTGACAGATTGTTGCAAAATTTGAGGGACTCCGCTAGAAGTATGGTGGAGAAAAAGGCAAGAGAGGAAGCACGGAAAGTTCTGATCCGCATGAAGTATAGGTAGCCAATTTAATGGTGGAATGTTTTATAATTGGTCTTTTTGTCATTTTGGTGCTTATAGCTTCGGAACATCTCCAGGTTCTCAACTGATTTCCACTTTGACTCAAAGCCGACTAAGAAGGAAGACATTATAACAAAAGCGAAGGTCGCACGCTCTGCGGTAATCTGCAAAGATCTATCATGATGGGAGTTAGTATTACTTGTATGTGCATAATTTGGGAGTTCCTAAATGGTGTATTTTATCATTATGTTGCAGTCTCTGAAGCTTTTATCTGTTTTGGCTGCAATACAATTGGATGAGGAATCTGATGAGATACAATTGGATGAGGAATCCGATGGAACAGTGGCTGTTCCTTCTACCCAAGATAGGAGCATTGGAGCTTCTGCAGATCCTCTTGCTTCAAGCACGTGGAAGAAGGTAGTTATAAGTATATAATGCTGGTAATTTTGTATTATATGTAATTTTTTGAACTGATTCCTCATGAAGGAAGAACTTTTATCTAGGTCCCTCCAAAAAATACTCTGATTACGCCAATGCAGTGCAAGTCTCTGTGGAGGCAGTTTAGGGCAGAAACTGATCCTACTGTCGATCGAGCAATTTTTGAACTGGTATATAATTATACATTGTGCTCTTTCATAAATTTGTTTCTCTTTTATAAGTTCTTGTCTTGCAATTTATTCCATAAATGTGGTGTCATTCATAGAATTTGAAAGAAAGTGGTCTCTTTGTTTATTTGGAATTAAAATTATGCTCATCAATGAATAAATGAGGATTAAAGAGATCATTCATTATAATTAATTTTCTTAAATAATTGAATCAAATCCTTATAAACTTTGAAGCAATATTACATGTTAGATTTACTATACTAAAAACTGCATTGTCTTGGTAAAAAAAGTGACTTCTTCCGAAGAATATTGAAGTTTGTTAAAAGGAATAGTAGACCTGAAGGATTTACTGGAAAAAAAAAAAGAAAAAAAAAAAAGAAAGAAAGAAAAAGAAGAAGAAGAAAGAATAGCAGTCTTGAGACTCAAGGTTGCACGTGTGAAGGTATGAGACTCAAATAGTTTGAGATCCCATGTACAAAATTTGAATCAGAAGCTTGATTATATACACTTTCTGTTCATATTTATTCTTCTTGTGTTGATACACCAATTTATATTTTCAGCATGTTTTGTTTTTGTTTCCATATTCTTATCCTTTCAATGGTTAATGTTGGTGAATGAACCTCTCCAATGGCCTCTCAAACTCAAAATATAATAAGTAGATGAAAATAAGACATTCCAGCCTCTCAAAAAACTTCTCATATTTTGAGATTGTCAAAAGTGTTGCCAAATATAGTAGCCCTCAAATGGCCTCTCAAACTCAAAATATTACAGGTGAATGAAAATAAAGCACTCTAATGGGGGCTCTCAAAAGACCTCTCATATTTTGAGATTGTCAAAAGTTGCTAAAATGAACATAAGGCACTCCAATGGGCTCTCAAAACATGGAATGGTTGTGGTGTCAAAAAATAACATTTTGAATGAAATGCTCTATTGGAGCATAATTACAAAAATATAGCATTTTGACACTATACCTCTCAAAATATAGATTTAGCTAGTATAAAAATATAGCATTTTGCATTGGAGATGCCCTCCATACATGATCCTTTAATGATATATGCCGGTAAGGCACTAATCTGGCATTCTGATGTATTGTATTTCTCATTCTTTTCAGGAGGATCGCGAGGCCACTCCTCCAAAGGTCAATATTGTGTTGATACACCAATTTATATTTTCAGCATGTATTGTTTTTATTTCCATATTCTTATCCTTTCAATGGTCAATATTGGTGAATGAACATCTCTAATGGCCTCTCAAATGGCCTTTCAAACTCAAAATATAATAAGTAGATGAAAATAAGACACTCCAATGGCCTCTGAAGAGATTTCTCATATTTTGAGATTGTCAAAAGTGTTGCCTAATATAGCAGCTCTCAAATGGCCTCTCAAACTCAAAATATAGTAGCTGGATGAAAATAAGACACTCTAACAGGAGGCTCTCAAAAGACCTCTCATATTTTGAGATTGTCAAAATTTGCTAAAATAAAAATAAGACACTTCAATGGGATCTCAAAACTTGGAATGGTTATGTTAAAAAATAAGATTTTGAATGAAATGCTCCATTGGAGCATAACTACATCTATTGGAGCATAACTACAAAAATATAGCATTTTGACACTATACCTCATCTCAAAATATAGATTTAGCTAGTATGAAAATATAGCATTTTGCATTGGAGATGCCCTCCATACATGATCCTTTAATGATATATGCCTGTAAGATACTAATTTGGCATTATGATGCATTGTACTTCTCATTCTTTTTTGAAGGATCCCAAGCCCACTCCTCCAAATGATTACACTTTATTGGATATTGCATTTGGGGCTGCGGTTGGGGCTGCGGTTGGCGTTCCGGTTGGGTTTGCGGTTGGGGCTGGGGTTGCGGTTGGGGCTGCGGTTGGGGCTACAGTTGGGGCACTAGGTTACATCATGTCATAAAACCTATATATACTACTTAATGTTGGTCTTGATGATGGACTTGAAAAAATATATTAATAATATACCTTTTGCTCCTTCTATATTTCTTCTATTGTCTCTTCAAATTACTCTATATATATATATATATATATATATATATATATATATATATATATTATAAGCCGTTATCAGTGTGACGGCCTTAAATTTTTCAATCCAGTGTGACCAGTGATGACCCGAAGGATGATCCGATAATGGATCCAGAATACGGAAGTGAAAATAGAAAACAAAGTCTATGGGGATATTCGGTATCCCTAAGACATAAACATAGCTTCCCATGAAGCCACGAAACAAAAAGAAAATGAATGCAGAAGTAAAACGGTGAAAATAGACCAAGTATGCCCCCAAGGGTAAAATGGTCATTTCACATGAAAACAAGGTCTCAAGAGATATACGTCATCTCTAAGACACAAACATAGCTTCCCATGAAACCACGGAACTTAAAAGAAAACAAAAATGCGGAAACAAAGTTTTAAAAATGGACAAGTTTAGCCCTAGGAGCAAAATAGTAATTTCCAAAAGTTATGGGTGCTACCGAGCACACCATTGGATAGATAGTGAAAAATTAACGAACATAGGCTTAAGAATCACTTGATTTGTAGTCTGGACAGAATAGAAAAGTTGAAACAAAGTTTTGATATTGTCGCGACCGTGAATAGGATTTTGACAGCAGTGAATAATGCTGGGCAAAAAAATGCTAAAATAGTGTGCCGTTTTGGGGCACCAAACGACATTTTTTGGAAAAAAACACGAAAAAAAAACTCCACTTAAAATAATTTTTGATGTGAAAACCCCAAAATATCCCTTAGATCAGACTTTTTCTCGAAAAAGTACTTGTACCAGAAAATCAGTTTTGACATATGGTTTTCAAGACCGAGACGACATTGTTTGGAAAAACACAAAGAAGAAACCCCCTCTCAAATCACATTTTCTATGTGATCATGTCAAGTCTGGAATTTATTTTTCAAGCAAAAGCCCCAAAATGCCTTTAAATCAGATTTTGCCAAAGAAATGGAAAATGAGTCCAAAGGATGCTCAATTCATAAAATAAGGTGTTGTGTGCCAAAGTGAACGTACACTGATAAGTGCCAAATATTTCATATTCAAGTGCACTAAATTGCATCTTAGTCCATTTTTGTATTGATGTTGTATACCTTATATGTGTTTTTGTGTTTTTCTTATTTTGAGGTGCTTAGCCTGAAAATGCAATAAAGACCATTAATTTCGGACCATACAAATAGGGCTTTCACGCAAAAGTTCCAAACGCCATTCTGATGATCATTTTGGGTGTTTAGGGCCTTATGGAGCTTAAGTTTCTAATTAGGGAATTTTTTGAGCTCAGCCGGACCTCCATTCTACCAAAATGAAAAAACAGTCCCTGGCCATTTTCGCGTCCCAATGTAAGATACTGCGTCCAGACACGAAGCACTAACAGCCTTGTTAGCTGCGCACGTGGCATGCCCCAGCGCAGCCCATTGACACCTCGTGTCCAGATGCAAAATCCTGCATCCGGATGCTAAGGCCCAGTACATATCCCCAGCCTAAGTTTGAATTTCAAAAAGCCTTCTTTCTTTCTAATTCTCTTCTCCCTCACTCACTACGTCTCTTCTTCTCCTCTAACCCTAACTTCCCTCATTCTCTTATTTTCTTCCCTTTCTCATTCTTCCTCTCAATGTCCATCCTATCTTCCTCCATCACCATTCCCTCCTTGGCATCAAGTAAGACAAGGTTTGCACTCTCCATTGGGGTAAGCTTCCTTCAAACTTCTTCCTTATTTCATTTCATATATTTTCAAAGCAGAATGGGGCTTGATTTCATGTTGGAGGTAGAGTATGTTTGGGGCTTATAGTGTGCCATTTGCAAGTTGAAAATTTTCGGGTTTTGACCATTACCCCCATTATTTTACTCTTTGATTTTCAGGACTGCCCACCAGGTGCTCAACCAAAGTCCTGAACTAATTCCCTTCATCCAAATGGCTCCCAAAACATCTTCCAAGTGCGCTCGCTCTTCCAAGGAGCCTTCTCAAGATGCTCCTCATCCAGATTGGTCGGATTGGCCAATTGAATTTGAAGCCAATTTTTTCATGAAAGACAAGTTTAAGGAACACTTAGAGATAATATGGGCAGTTAAGGAATTGAAAGATCGCGGCCTTAGTGCATTGTTTAAACCTTGCACTTCTGAATTTTGCCCACGCTTGGTTTGGGAATTTTATACCAATATGACCTATTCTTGCACCGAGCCAACCTTAATCAAGACCACCATTGATGGAGTGCCTTATGCATTCACCATCAATGACATTGCCAAAGCTTGGAAATGCCTTATGCAGTCCCCTTTGGACGAGGACGACAAGCCTATTTAAGGCATTTTCCCAGATACCATTGACCTTCCCAATATTGTGAGGGACATTTGTTAGGGCAATTTCACTCTAAAACGCACCACTAGCACCAACAAGTCCTACATTCCATGTCGACTTTGGCTCTTGGATGTTGTCCTTGCCAAAAATGTTTTTCCCATTGCTAAACATTCCGAGCGCAAGGGTGTTTTTCTGAATACGCTTTATGCCGCCGAAAAAGGTTATTGGTTTTGCAATCCTCAACTCATTTGGGACTAAATTCTTGTAATGACCCGGTCATTGACCTTCCTTTCCTTTTTCTTGAAATTTTACAGATAAAATTTTTCCGTTTAATTCTCTTTTTTGAGATCTGTTTCTCGTTGTTTAGTGTCATCTCGAGTGGTCAGAATTGAATTCTGAGACTCTTTCGTGTGGATTGACAACTTCCTTTGAGGACCGAGTCATTTTCGCATTTTCACTTTTCGGGACACTATTCACTTTTGTCCTTTTCCCTATTTTGTCTTTTCCCCGTTTGCCAATTTTTGGTACAACCTCACTTTTTGTGCTCGAAGTTAGTTTTTGACTTCACAAGTCTTCATCTTCAGTGGTTTTCTCGAAATACGTATCTTTACTTTTGCAAGAAAGTACTCTGGTTGCTCCCAGTGTCCAAAGGGGCATGGATGCACAATTCTTTGAAATCTTTTTCTTTTCTTGGGGTATTTTTCATAAATTTCTTTTGAAGATATTTTATTTCAGGGGTATCTAAGAATATATTTTCATTCTGGGGCAGTTTCGCCGTTAACCCTTTCTGTAGGGGCCATTGTGCAATTAACAAAAGTTATTGCAAAATGCCTCGTCTGGAGCCTTGATCCTCGTACGGGATTCAGTTTTACATTTCGTTGAGTCATGGACTCTTAGGATTTCCTTCTAGTCATTTTTCTTCAGTTTTAGAGTTTTTGGACCCGGTTGTCGCCGAACTTGTTCGGGACATAAGTCTCTGCTCGGGACTCAGTTTTCGACGTCATTTCTTCCGTTATTCATATTTTATTGTTTTGAATCTTTTTCTTTCACATAGTTTTGCCGTTTGAGCATGTTTGCTTAAATTTCACTTTTCCGGACCTGGCGGGGTCCTTTCGGGGCACCTTTTGAGATTTCTATAAAAGGGGAATGAGATATTTCATTTTTCATCTTCCCCACTCCCCTTGCACGACTTAAAGTAGCCATGGATGTCCATGGAGCTGCCACCTTCTCTCTCCTCCTTTGATTTACTTTTCCTAAGTAAAAAGTCTTCGGCCTTCACATTTTTTGTTCCTCTCGACGTGTTCTACCATTCCCCCTTGTTATAATTCATTTTTGACCATTTCTTGAGTTTGGGTTTGAAGTCAAGTTGTGATTTTCATGGGGCTTCCTTCGGATTCATGTAGATCGTGTTGTCCCCGACAAAACCCTTCGGTTTCGGCGGATTCAGAACACTTTTCTTCCGGTGGGGATTTGGGATTTTCATCTCAAATTGAGGTAGGAGGTGTTATAATTTATTTTCTAGCTATATTACATGATTGTGATGCTTATACAACTTGATTACATGCTTGGATATAAAATCTAGAGATTTTATTATTTATTTTTCTTGTGAAGGATTTAATTTATCCGGTTGTCTATAGCTTTGTTTAAACATGTGGCATGATAGAATATTACCCCTTGATATGTTGATTGACATATATTAAATCTAGATCATTTAGACAAGTAACGAAGATTTTATTTAATATTTATCTTGAATAAAATATTAAATCATGTGGCCTTAACTAGCTTGAAATGAATATGTGTTAGCATATTATATTAGGCCTTGGCATGCTCTTCAACATAGGTGAATTTGAGAGAAATTGGAAGTGTTTTGAAATATAGTAATATTTAATTAATTAGATTAATAATTCAACCCCTCATATGTGAGTACAATATCTAGTTGACTTTTCCAATTGATATAATTAGGTCCAGTTAATCGATTTTCTTTTAGTATGTTTGCAAGTAGACTGAATGGACTAGTCATGATAAATCTGAAAATAAAAGCATTTATACAATAAATAAAGTGAATAAAAATAATCATGCAAGAATAAAATAATTAATTAATTGTGGGTCCCTTAACCACATTGCATGAAAAATCGGACGATCAATATGCCAATAACTTATCCGGTTGGCGGAATTCATTATTGCTTATTGACGATAACAACTCATTATTTCCATATCTCTTTAGACAATGCCTTATCTATATATGAAATAATTCCCGATTAGATTTAGCCTTTCTAAAATCACCTAGTATAGACCACTCCGTTGGGGAGCTAATACTATTGATTTTAGATTGAGTGTATAACGTAATTATTGCTCCAACGAAAAATAAAATATTAAATATATTGCCATTAATAGCTTAGACTTTTTAAATCATGCGTAGGGCCTTATTTTTAAAGATCTAATCACAATGGTTATAATTACGAAGGCCATGGGGTAATGCATAAAAATCCCCGCTCCTACTCAATTTTTAATAATATAAAACTGGGGTTTTAAATTCATGATTTAATGCATGCAAAATGCCTTGATTTTAATCCAATTAAATTTAGAAAATATATGAATTTTAAATGATTCACTAATATTTTATTTGAGGCAAAAAATAATTTACAAAAATAATTTTACGTTTCCCAATGAACGCCTTCAAATTAATTAGCAATCTAATCCAATTTATCTTCATAATTTAATTAATATAAATCAAGGCATTTAGATAAAAAATCATGGATCCAATGCATGAACAATTATTATCAGTATTAAATTATTCCATGCATCACATAAATAATAATCAAACCACAGACAGAAACAATTTAAATGGCCAATGGATTCAGCTTTTAACATTTAAATACTATTCTTGCTGTACGGGCGTCCTTCAACAGTTTGTAAACACTCATAGGAAGCTTGTACGTGCTAGGAGAAGCAAAACGCCGCTTGGAACGCGCCTGGAGGACCCCACACGCGCTCGCACGCGCCTGGGACAGGCTGTAAGGCAAGGCACGCTCCCCCACGCACCACCACGCGCTGGCACGCGCATGGGGCACGTGGGACGCGCTCCCATGCGCTGGCACGCGCCTTCACGTGCCTTCACGTGCGTAGAGGACAAATCACCCTTGGTTGGTGCGTGCATTGATCAACCTGCAACCTCCTGGCGCGTGTTTGTTCCTCACGCGCCAGGCTCACTCAACCTGCGCCACATCTGATCCGTGCTTCCTCCGACTCCCCTTCTCGCCGCCGGTGAAGCTCCGGCCACAGGAAAAACGCCGAAAAAATTCCAGAAAATTCTCAGAAAATTAAATTAAGCCTAAAAAAATTCCAGAAAAATTCCTAAAAATTAGGAAAAATTCCAGAAAATTACTGAAGCATAATTTAACCCTTTCAGACCCTCTTGAAGCTTCATAGCATCCTTTGATGAATATTACATGGCTTTAATAAATACTTACAATTTGAAATACAATGGAAAAAATTAAATTACATCATTAAATTTTCAAACGGCTAAAACAAAGCCTTAATTATATTCATCTAAAGATAAAATTACATTCTATATACCTATAAGCTTCATCCATGGCCCAAACACATATCATCATCCATTCAACAATTATACATACATCATGATGTATTAATATATATCAACCTAATAAATCATACATCAACATACATCAATAATTTTATATATGTATATATAATTTGGATCCATGAATATGATTTTTATAAACACATGATCTCTAGTAATGAATCAAACTATATGTTCTGATACCACTGTTGAGAAACGTGCAAGTTTTTATAACTTTTGAGTGATTTGCAATCATGGATCTTGATTCATCACATAGAGACAAGTTTTATGCAAAAACAAATAAAAGATGATGTATGATTCAATAAAACAGATTAAATACTTACATCAAAGGTCTGAGTAAACCTTTTAATCTTTCCTCTAAAGTGAATATTCTCACTTATTATAAATCCCTTTAGTAAGATATTTTCTCCTTCTTCTTGATTGTTATCTTCCCTTTAGGAATCACCAATATGCCTTGATGAATGACCTCAGAATCTAGGGTTGTGGTAGCCTCCTTTTAGAAGAGAAAACAAACCCTAAAATCTAGAGAGAGAAAGTGTATTCCTTTTTCTTGTTCTTAAAATCACACTTAAAATACACATGTAATCTTCATAGCATCCTTTGATAAAGATTACATGGCTTTAAAAATATTTACAATTTGAAATACAATGGAAAAAATTAAATTACATCATTGAACTTTCAAATGGCTAAATCAAAGCCTTAATTACATTCATCCAAAGATAAAATTACATTCGAAAACCTATAAGCTTCATCCATGGCCCAAACACACATCATCATCCATTCACAATTATACATACATCATCATGTATCAATATATTAAATCATACATCAATATATATATATATAATTTGGATCCATGATGATGATTTTGATAAAAACACGATCTCTAGTAATGAATCAAACCATGCTCTGATACCACTGTTGCGAAACGTGCTAGTTTTAAAAACTTTTTGAGGGATTTTGATTCATAGATCTTGATTCATCACATAGAGACAAGTTTTATGCAAAAATAAAATATGATGTCTCATTCAATAAAACTAGATTGAATGCTTACATCAAAGGTCTGAGTAAACCTTTAAATCTTTCCTATAAAGTGAATGTTCTCACTTATTGTAGATCCCTTAGCAAGATGCCTTCTTCTTGGATCTCTATCTTCTTGGTAATTGATTTGCCTTTAGGAATCACTCATAAGCCTCCATGAATGACCTTGGAAAACTAGGCTTGTGGGAGCCTCCATTAGATGAGAACATAAACTCTAATTTTCTAGAAAGAGAAAATATATTCCTTTTTTTCTTTTACTAAAAATCACCCCTAAAATATACATAGACCATGTATATTTATAGGCAACATAAAAATAAAGAAAAGGAAACAACTAATCCTTCTCAATCTCTAATTCACATGTCTC